TATGGAATAGAATGGAGATTGAATACTACCTTGTTTACAAAGATCTTTGCTTATTTAGGAAATGATTTTGTGTGTCCCAATGTTCTGAGTCTTTTCAACCACAAACAAAAATCTGAGAATTCAGAAGTCATTATAAAACTGTTCTTTAAAGTAAGTTTCAACCAAAAAATTTTAAATGAATAAATAGATCATTATTGTATTGTGTAATTTCACATTATGGGTATGTTCATAGACTGGTGATAAGATATTGGAAATTTGAAAAATCACTGAAAACTACACCATTTTGTTCAAACTGTGTATTCATGACATTCATGTGAAGCAAAGGATTACTCACGTGCAAACAGTGAAGGTACCAAATTGAGAAATTAACAAGATATTTACAATAGCTATAAATGATACAGAAAAAATAATAGGAAAAATTATGAATTCCTTTCTTGACTTTATAGACTTACAACTATGACTACTGATAGTCTAGTCACCATTGTCATTGCCTTTCTTCAAAACTGAAGGACTCTGGTATATCAAACTAAAAGCATTTTCTAATAAACAAAAAAAGCTAATTAATTATTTCTATGACTATAGCAAGGCACCTTACTTGAGAAAAACTGAAGTTGACTTAAAGTTAATCCTCCCAGTATACCTACAAACTGGCTTAGAACAAAGATATTTTTTGATATCCAATTTTATTTTTTGCTGCAAGTAGTTCAAATCATGAGTCTTTTAAAAGTTTTTGGTAATTATGTTCAACCTCCCAAATTCATTGTGTGGTTATCAAACTGTATACTTTATATTTCCTCAATTATATTGTACTTTAGGAGAAATAGCACAAATATAAAACACAGTGTCTAAGATATTTTTAATTTTAGATGTAGTAATATGTATTTTCTGTATACCATGCTTTTTCTCCAATTCTGTCTCTGATTTACATGAAATACTGAAAAGATAAAAAAGTTCAAATCAAATTATAGCATATAAATTAAATGTGTTCTACTCTCTTGAAGAGTTAACTACGTATCTCTCTACATTCTAAATTTAGTAAAGATAATAAAAGTGCAATATCTATAGTACACCTTCCTAGAAATGATACCTAATTAAGTAATTTTTGGTATTTATGAAAATGCCTATTGAGTGTCATACGAGAGTTCTTCACTTTTTAATATGATTTTTCAAGAAAATAGGTTATAGTAGTTAAGCATAAGAAAATATTTCACAGCGTGAGTTTGTGGTGTGAGACTTTCAAGGTAGAAATATATTTTTCAGACTGTCAAAGCATAGGAGAAGAAAATTGCCCACAAAGGAAATAATATATTCAGAGATAAAGATTTTGAAGCATGCTTTCAGATTGAGAGGATGCAGAGAAATTTAGCCTTGTTCAGTGAATTTCAACCCTGGTTGCACATAAGGATCATTTGGGGTGTTATAAAACTTTAAATGACTGAATTCTATTTTTTATCAATTAAATGCAGTCAGATAGCAGAGATAAGCTTCAGTATTAAAAAGGACATATAAACGAAAATTCTCCAGAGCAGTATTGGGAAATCATGAAGGAGAAAAAGAAAAGCAAAATAGAACAACAAACTGAAATTTCCTATTGTCATCCACCTGAAGCCATGTTTATAAATTTCCCATACAAAGGTAACACAGAGGCATGACACTAAATAACATGGGTGCACTCACTGCCCTTTACAAAGAACTTTAAGTCATTTTGTCACTTGTGACTGCTAACAAGATCCCTCGTGGCTTATTAGACTTTCTGTCCATGGGAAATCTCTGAACAAGGGTGAGACAATAGCATACTGTGCACCTTTCTACAGCTCAGTGGATTTTGAAAATGACAAGTCCACAGATTTATTTCAGAAACATAGAAAAAGGATTTTCCTGAGTGTGTCAGCAAACTACTGCAAACATTATCCAACTCTGCTCTACAGCAATGAGCACAAACACAAATTTTACAATTGGTCAGAATTAACTTCAATTCATTGATTCTCCAGCTACTAATTTGAATTTAGAGGTTCTATTTATATTCCATAAACTAAAGTTTTCTTGTCTCTAAACTTGAAAGAATTGTAGTATTTGTATTCCAAGTGGCCCTGAGGAAGGATCAGGGAGAACAGGAAAGAAACTAAACCCCTGCCTGTGAGCCAGCCTAAATTTGGTTTTCTGAGCAACTATTTAGAGGGCAACAACATGTAATCTAGTAATTAGTGTGTATTTCCTACTGTTTTATTACAGTTTTGATTCACTTTGTGGTTGTTTTATTCCCTTTAAAATGAATTCCAGAAAAATAAGTTTCTAGGAAATAAAATAAAAGTAACCCTGAGATTCAAATGAGATTATGTACATAATTGATGTTTGGAAATCCGGCTGTATGTAATTATTATTGTGATTAAATATCCAGACTTTCCTTTTGAATGTCTTTCAGAAGAGGACAAAATTTCAGTAATTGATGTTGGTGTAATCATTTCTCTCTTTTCTGAGATAATTTCACCAACAAAAAATATGAACTCTTTGAAGAAGTGAAATATAAAATAATCCCTTTATGATTTTATATTGTTTGGATCTACAGTATTTTCTCTGTGAGTTGATAACAGTAAGTGTAGGCCCAAGGATACAGCTCAGTGGCACAGTGACTGCCTGGCAAGTGTGAGGTCCTGACTTCCGTTCCTGATGCCAAAAACCAAAGAACAGGGGTAGACCTTTCTGAAGGTGTTTTACGTAGGTTTTACGTAGGAAAAAAATGTCTTTCCTATTATTGACCTTTTTTGGATATATAAAGAAAAGAGTTGAGCTGTTATATATGTTTACCTTTAAAATATAAAGACATGGAAAAATTGTGGTTTTGACTATGGAAAATCAAACTAAAATATGCTTTCTAAAATAAATGTGATTTGGATACTTGAACGTACTCATTTATCACTTCATCTTTCACAATTCCCTGTTTCAACATTTTAGAAGAAAATATCCACTTTCAATATAGAGTATTCCCTGAAGGGGTAAAAGCTTCCAAGTTGCCTGACATACAGGAAACTCAAAATTATTAGCACCAATATTGTCAAATGGATGGTTTAGTAACTTCTCACCACTTAGACAATTTATAATATATAATATTGCTTTAATCAAAGAATTCTGGGTTGTGTTGTCATTTAGAGATTAGAATTTGAACAAATAATTTTTATCCTGGATTATGTCACTTTTTATATATTTGACTCAAGAGGAGTTGAAATAATCAAGTAAAATTCTTATAAAAGTTACCTAATCCCCATGTTCTTACTCATGAAAACACTTTCTCATATTTTTAAAAAAATTTGCATAGAACATTTACTAATGTCTATTATTCTAATAAAAATCTTTTACCCCTGCATATCTGGATTAATTTTACCAATTTTAATTAACCTCATTAAGAAACACATGTTCAATAAAATTTCACTTACATTTCAAAATTATTTTATTAAAAGATTTATTTACATAGCTTTATCAGTTATGCTATACTGATATTATTAATGCTGTCTATATTAAACTAATTTTTACATAAATTCAGTAAAAATAAATTTACTTTATATACTTACCTTTGTCACAGAGATGTATAATAAACTTTTATTTTTATTGATAAAAACTGTACTTATGGCATGTAACATGATATGTTGGTCTATATACTCATAACAATAATGATATAAAGCTAAGTTATCTATTGTCATATGAACATCATATATTGGGGATGAGAATATTTAAAATGTAGCTTTTATCAGTTTTCAAGTATTTCATATGTTAGCATCAATTATCAACACTACATACATTGAGAGGTGTCTTGAGCGTATTGCTTTTGTTTAACGGAAAGTTTTATACTTAGGTCATGATCTCCTAAATTACTTTAAAATCCATCTCAAAATACATAACAGGTATAATTCTTTGGACAATAGTACATAAAAATTAAGTAAGTATAAAAAGGAAACTGCAAAATAATTTCAAGCTATAAAATTTGCTTAAGTATTTTTATATGGATAATGATCAGCATCAAATCATTAAGGTGTCTATAAATTTTAAAGTTACCTTGGCATTTGTTCAAAATATTATTTGCAATATTCCTGAATTATGCCCTATGAAATTATTTATAATTACAATTAAAATAATGTGGAATCTACTTGAAAGCATGTGATAGCACACACAAAATGCTGTTATGAAACTTTTATTTAGTGCTACTCAAAATCTTGATGAATATTGCTATCAAAATGCTGTCTTTAATGACGTGATTTATTACAACATAGTAAAGGCAGGAAATGATTGCATTTAAGAGATTAAGCTGCATAATAAAACAGGATTTGTTCAACAGCTCCTACTCATTGTTCGAACTTAGGTTCATTGCTCTCTCTAAGTCCTTATTTTTCAAGTCTGTGATAATGTACATATCTAATTGGTAAGCTCTTTCCGAACATTTTATGAAATTGTGTTAAGCTCTTAGAAAATTGTCTGTAGAGCAAGGGTCATGTATATTCATTAAGAGAAGTTACTGCATACAAGGAAGTCCAGTGAAAAGAGTTATGTATGTTCTTAGAATTCCTTACAGAGAAATCAGGGCTTGGTATGGTCTTTGAGAATAAATTTAATGAACTGTAAAATGAATATTTTTCAGTTAAACATATTATGTCATCTACTGGCTTGAGGACTATAAAGACAAGTTATAATATAGAAAGTCACAAATTTTGTGCTTCCTCTGGAACCAGATTTTGAAATGAGAAATAATACATACAAGCCACAATAGAGAGCACAAGTTGTTTCACCTTGTTTCATCTGCTTAATCCTTTAGTTGTACTCAAATTAACACAACTCATTTCCACCAAGACTTTGTGGATACTCAGTTGATATGCAGAATGTAAAGAATCCCAAAGCACAATGAATTTTCATATTGATTTCAGTTTGTTCCTTTGTGTTTTAAGCCAAATAAAATAGTCATTTGGACTTTTATCAGGTAAACTAATTATTTTTTGTTTATCTTTTACCAACAGGATTTGCTAACCCAGTTTCAGGAATAGCAAATGACTCACAAAGCAGCATGCACAATGCTTTGCACATCTATATGAATGGAACCATGTCTCAAGTACAAGGATCAGCCAACGATCCCATTTTTCTTCTTCACCATGCATTTGTTGACAGGTTTGTTGAACTTCTTCATAAATTATGTTTCCATTGAATGAAAACATGGAAGTTTATAGGACAAAACGCTCGGTGTGTTATATCAAGTATAAATGTATGCATAGTCTTATATGTATCTATTAATAGAGGTACTAAAGAATAGTATCAATAATTATGCTAATTTACCCAGTTGGTAGGATTCAGCATGAACTTTATTTTCTTTGTGATTTTCCTATTTTCTTGTCTTTTGTTTTTGGTAATTGATAATAAGACAAGCAATAGTGTTAATTCCCCAAATTTGACAAACAAGCAAAGAAAAGAATGAGAGAAACATGAAATCATTTAACTGAAGAAGCTGTACCTACTCAGAATTACGCTTATTTTATGTGTTTCTAAAGGAATCACTTATGATTTATATCTGTTTCAGAATCTTATCACTCATAGCTTGACTGACTGAAGAATTCTACTAGACAATTTAGTTCAAAGTGCTGCATTTTTTTCTAGGCAGGTGCTGAATTGTCATCTGTCCAACAGCTTCTGCTTTGTACAGCCGGTCTATGGTGAGGGTATTATGTTCAGTATCTTCAATCACTTCCTTACCTCTGCAGATCTTTAAACTTCCCGGTGGAAATTCCCAGCATACAATTAACCCTTGAGAATCTAGGTCTCACTTTCATATGATCTAATTTGTTGTATGTTACACAGTGACCGGCAGTGTTCCCATTTTAAAGTTTTAGAAGTGGTACCAGGAGTTTTTACACTGATACATTTCTTTGGAAGATTTTTCTTTGGAAAGAAGTAAAGGGTCAATGCTGGATGACATGCTGAGGATAAAAGTCATAACAGTAGAAAGGGGTTCTATAAACACTTTACACTTAACGATTTGAGAAGAGCTTACGTGGGCATTAACAAGCACACCTCTACATAATGCACTCATTCATTGATTTGAATTGAATAAACATTAAATATTCTTTGTGTGTCGTACTGTGAGGATGAAGCCAACACTACATTTTTCTCAGACTAGTATGTTCCAGTCTAACCTGAGGGACCAAGTGAGATGACACAGAAAGAGGAGGACATGACAGCCACCTCTAGCAGCTCACTATCATAACCCTGGGTGCCAAGTGTGAAGAGAATTCCTGCAGGCAAAGAACCATGTGCTGCAGTCAGAATGCCATGAACATGAACAAGTGCTGCTTGATTTTCCTTGTGTAACCTTGGGGAAGTTTCTGAACCTCTCTGAACCTATTTCCTCATTTGTAAGATGATGGTTGTCATACTATCTTCCTCAAAGGAATGTGAGTTTACACTGTATACGCTATGAGATATGATAAAAGAATAACCTTCATAGACAGAGTAGAGTACAAGGGAATTTTTAAAAGCATGCAGAATGTTTTTATGTTTTACTAAGTGCTCTGTAGTGTTGATAACTCCTCAGCAATTCTCCACTGTCTGTCTTTTGAGTGTATGGGAACTTGGCTAGTTGCAAATCTGAAACAATACTTTCCAAGAGTAGTTAGCTTGCCTTATTCCGGAACTACAGGTTACTTGTATCTCCTGCAGTGACTTCTTGGCTGAACTTACTTCCTCTCCTCCCTCAGGCTACCCTCCTAAGATAGTACCCCGACCCACATGCCCTTTAGCCAGATGCTTGCCAACTTGGCAGCACAGAAATTGTCTAAGCAGACGGCTGGGAGCAAGGCAGTTCCCTGAAGCTTCAGGAATGAACAGCAGATTGCGTCCCTGCTGATAATGTAAGGCTGACACTTGATTAGAAAGGCAGAAATCTCAGGGTCCTGGAAAGAACAGAGCTCACGAAACAGAAATATCTTACAGACTGCTCTCCTGATCAGATGGGATGGCAGAGGGTAACCAGACTGTCTGTGGATTTCTTTTCACATTGTTGGACTGTGACAAGATTTGATAATGCTCCCTAATATTTTTATCTGAAAGAGAATGAATATCCTAGAACAAGTAGTACTTATATCATCCTATTTGCCCACATTCGCACAGCTGTTCTTTTTGTTATATTTAACTCTCAGACCAAGCAGCATTTTTAAGGTGGAGTCATGGATTTATCTGTCTCTTCCAGAAAATCTAGAACTTCACGCAAATAAGGTCTATGCTTTGATTGTCTCTGATACCTAACATAGAATGTGGCAAATAGGAGCTATTCATTAAATACTTGTACATACTTATTTGGCTAAAGTATCATGTAGCTGATAATTCTGAGATAATCAATCATCCGAGAGGTTATCAAGAATATTTCATTGTGCAGTAAAATACCATTTAAAGATATTCTATCAAGTATTAAAAAGTCACATACTACAATTAACAAACTAAAGAATATTCAAACAATATGTAAAACCTCCCAATTCTTCTAGGATTAATGGATTTTAGTACTGGGGAAATTAACTGGCTTAACTTAAAATATTGATAATCTAAAAGTATATAAATTTATTGTATAGGAAGAAGAAAGAAATGTGAGTTTTTGTGTTTGGCTGAACTCCTAAATCTGAAAGAGAATTTAAAGACCATGATCAAAATTCCCTAATTTACAAATAAGGAAATTGGTGCTAAGAGTGGGTGACCCATCCAGAGATACAGTTTGTCGCAGAGTAGAAGGAGGAATATAGTATATAAGGTCCCAGGATAGTGTGAAAAATATTTAACCAAGGAAGGCAAAGGCACTATGACAAGAGGAAAGGTCCTCATCATAATTATTTAGAGAGCCAAAGGTCATAACTGCTGAAATAGCATGAAATATAAGATCTAAGTGGGACAGAGAAAAAAATCAAAAGGTCAGTAATCAGGAGACTAGCAGGAAAGAAATCATATGATGAAGATCACAGATTTAAAAACCAGATATGCCTCATTTTGAATTCCAAAGCTGCTTCGTCTACTTATATGATCTCTAACATGCTATTTATTCTCTCCTAAGCCTTCCTTTTGCTAACTATAAAATGTTACTAATCTTAGTAGCTTTCTGAAGTTGTAGTTTTGATTATTAATATTATATTTTTATAAATGCATGCCACTGTTCTTAGTACACAATTATAAGACAAAGTCTTTGCCAGAAAGATGTAGTCCAGTAGAGGTACAGGAAGTAAATGTAAACCAGGACAGAAAAATTAGTAAATACATAATTCAATGAAGCATTATACACTTATAAAGAATTACTGAAGAGAAGGTTTCATTTAAGAGATGCTTATTGTAGTTGTCTTCTCTGAATAAGAGGGCTGTAGACTGACACTGACATTGCTAAAAGGAGCCAACTGTAAGACATCTTTTAAGGTATGCATTTCAGGAAATGGGAAGCAGAAATGAACTATTTTATGGCAGAAAAGTGTTTGCTTTATACAGGGGAACCTGATACAAGATGATGTTAAGGACAATAGCAGAGCCCTAAGTACAATGGAAGGATTTTAAATAATTTAGTCTGGTGTATTAATCAGTTTTCCATTTCCAAGAAAGATTCATCTTGGTTTATAGTTTTGGAGGTTTCAATTCACAATCAGTTGACTTTGTACTTTGAAACTTGTGGTGAGGCAGCACGTCATAGTGACAATGCATGAAGGAGCAAAACCACTTCCTTGGCTCTGATACAAAAAGAGAAGAAAAAGGAAGCGCGGTCAAATAATTCCCATCACACGCCAGTCTTCAGTGACTTAAAGACTTCATTCTAGACTTGTGTTAGTTACTTTTTTCTCATTACTGAGACAAAATATCCCGAAATTAAGATAGAAAAGGTTTATTTAGCTCACATTTTGTGGTGTTTTCAATCCACAGTCAGCTGATTCCAAGGCAGAGTGACACACAGCAGAAGGCATCCGTTCATGATGGAAAAAGACAGTAAAAGCAACAACAGTAAACAGTAAAATGGAGGACAGCGGAGAGAAGACTCTCTGTCCCTTATATCGTATGTAGGTCACACCATCCTTAGGGTAGCCATAGCACTCACATCCATAATCCCAGCACTGGACCTGAAATTAATCACAAATTCTAGGAGCCTGCCCCCGTGACTGCATGAGGATTTGGGTAAACATCCAAACTCAAATCATAATAAGACTCCACATTTTTAGTTTACACCCCCATTAAACACGTATATGCACAAAAAGTGCTATGGGCTGAGGACCAAACTTTAACAGATAGACCTTTGTAAACGCTTATTCCAGCCATAGTATCTAAGTATTGAAATAATTTTAAGAAAGTGGATATATTTAAAAGTTACCCTGGTTGTTGTGACAAGTGGATTGTGACCTGGACGACAGCAGATTCGATAACATGAAAGAAAGGCCAAACTGGAATGGATTTTGAAGAACAACTTTTTCAAAATTTTTAACAGATAGGTAGCAAAGAATGGGAAACATGAAAAGGACATGAGGTCAAAGGAAAATATTGAAATTTGAAATTTTTATTATTTTGAAAGACAGAGGATGTTTGAAAATTAAAACATAAAGAGAAAGAAGAACAAAAAAAATGGAAAAATTATCAAAAGAGAGTTTTTGAGAAGACCCTAATGGAAAGGTGGTACTTTGCAGTGATAACTTTCTTACTCTTTTATTTCCCTCCTATCAAACACAGAATACATTTCCATTTATATCTTATGTTCTTCATTCTTAATATGTCATTTCAAACTTTTACAAGTACATGTTTCAGTGCACAATGAGTACCTTTGTTGTGGGGAGTTGGTGCATGTATACAACGTCTTAATTCTTTTTATGTCATCCTCCCCTCTGCTGCCTCCTTTTTGAATCCTGGTCTCCTTCCAATTTGCAAAATATTTATATGTATTTTATTACACCCTTTTTAAAGGCCTAAATATTGACACTTGGAAAGATTTTTTAAAATGGCCCAGAGTTTCAGTAGTTTTAATTGAACGACAATAAATTTAAACTTGATTCTACTTTACTTGAAAGTCCTGTTCCTGTGCGAATTCAGGAGGTCATGAATAAGACATATTATCTTTCCTACATACTCACATTATCTGTAGGGTAGTATATGGTTTTCCTACTATCGTG